CTCGACCTTCCCCTAATCCTCTTGGGGTGTTTATTCTCGCTGGCCCTGAGGGGTTTATCTATCCTGAATTCCCTGTGTTGTGGGCTCTTATCTGTAGCAGTGTGCATGTTCTGGTCTAATCTGATTTGTAAGGTAGAATTGAGGTCATGATATTGGGGGGAAGGAAGCATTAAAGAACTAGAGGAAAGTTGTGTTTTCTCGGTGCTATACTGCACCCTGACTGGCTCATCTCTTCCTTGTGACCCTTTTGTGATGGGGATGTCCAATTGTCTACAGATGGGCTTTAGGTTTCCATTCCACACCTTACCCCCCATTCACATTGGGTATGATTTTGTTCTGGGTCTTAGATGCCCGATACCTGATCCCATTGACACCTCATGATCACACAGGCTGGTGTGCTAATTCCAAGTGGCCTTTGTTGCTGCTCAGCTAGATAGCCACTTGTTTATCTTCAAGTCTTTAAGACCCAAGCAGACACTATATCTTTTGATAGCCGGGCACCATTAGCTTTCTTCACCATGTTTGCTTATGCACCCATTTTGTCTTCAACAATTGTGTCAGGAAGGTGAGCATCACAGAATGCCAGATTATTAGAACGAAGCGTTCTTGTGTTGAGAGAGTTCTTGAGTCGAGGCCCAATGTCCATCTGTAACTTTAATTCTTAACATATAGTTTTAAGTACATGGGTCTATTCCCCTCTCATTATATATAAATATATCTACATATGCAGATGCCTGTATTTAGACCTCTATAAATGTCCTTTGCCTCCTGGTTCTTTTCCCTGTTTTCTTTCACTTTCCTCTTGTCCCACCATCATGTTTGGATTTTATTCGGGCCTAGTAATTCCTCACTGCCATATTGCCCTTAAGCCCCACTAGGCATCCTAAGCCCTTCTCTCCAGTGACTTTAGTTCACTTGTTGTTCCCTTGTCCCTGGGTTGGTTCCCCCTCCCCCTCCTTTCTGCCACCTGCCCTTCTTCCGTATCCCCCCAGACCATTGGTCCTGTTCTTTTCATCTCTGAATTATTTATCCATCTATCTTATCTAGATAGACATGCAGAGACATTAATAAGTGCCCTAACCAATAAGCCTTATATTTTATCAGATATACTAGAGATATATTTTGTTCTACAAATTAGGGATGTGGGAAGTTAGAATTGGTAGGGACAATTGGTCTATACTTGGTTTAACAGTGCTTATTATTCCTGGAAGTAGATTTGACTTTTTCCCCCCCTGGGTATTATTTTTGAGTCAGTATATTTGCAAGGACCTCTTGATCCTTTGTGCAGGGGAAAGGGAGTGCTTGACCCATCAGCCACCCTGCAGGAAAAAGATGAGTGAGACCCATCTTTGACAGTTACCACATGTGGTTTATTTGATGTTGGCAAAAATCAGATTTTCCATCTGATTTTTCAAGAGTCGGACATCTCTTGAACAGTGCTATCATTGATGGTTAAGTATACTGAATTCTAAAAGGAATGTCCTAAAGGGATCCGTGCCTGGATATGTTAATCTGATATATTTGTTAGAAAAAAGTGAATCACATTGTCCAGTCACACCTACTACCTTCATAAGAGAGTATATGACAAGAACATTTCTTCTTTAGCAATTGTGTTAGCTTTTTGAGGGCTATGTATCTAAAATCAGTTATTATTTTCCCCTAATTTTAGGCTTAAATTAAACCGCTCTGGTGGCACAATGGTTCAGCAATTGGCTGCAAACCTCAAGGTGGCGATTTGAACCCACCGTGAATCCCTGGGAGAACAGACCTGGTGACCTGCTCCCTTAAAGCATTCAGCCTAAGAAACCCAGAAGGCATTTTTCTGTCACATGAGGTGATTCTAGGTTGGAATTGACTCGGCAGCACACTTCATCATTTAATATCAGTTGTTATTTAACCCTAATTTTAGGTTTACAAAAAAACCCCAAAACCGCCATCGAGTCAATGCTGACTCATAGCGACGCTCTGTGGGTTTCCAAGACTAACTTTGTGGGAGTAGAAAGCCCAGTCTTTCGCCCCCTGGAGATGTTGGTGGTTTTGAACTGGCAACCATGCGATTGCAGTCATGCCACATGACCATTATACCACCAGAGCTCCAATGTTGGGTTTAAGTTACTCAATAATAGAAAATCCGTTTACAGCATCATTTTTTGTAGAGCTTTAGCTATTTTAAAGTAGACCATCTTTTGTTTTTGATATCTTCTTAGGCTTTTCTCTTTATTTTTTTCCTCACATAAACAACCAAACCAAACTCACAGCCATTTAGTTGATTGACTCACAGCGACTCTATAGGGAAGGGTAGAACTGTCCCAATGGGTTTCTGAGACTGTAAATATTCAAGGGAGTAGAAAGCCTCATCTTTCTCCTGCAGGGTGGATGGTGACTTTGAACTGCTGATATTAAGAGTTAGCAGCCCAACGCGTAACCTGCTACGCTATCAGGGTGCCTCTTCCTGAACATAGAACATGTTAAAGCCCACTAACATTGATTCAGTTCTGACTCATATCAACCCTATATGTGACTTCAAAGGCTTTGCCAATCTTTATGCAAGCAGACAGCCTTATTTTTTCCCCTGCTGAACAGCTAGTGGATTTGAACCACCAACCTTGTAGGTAGCAATCCAATGCTTACTCAACAGTGCCACCAAGATTATGTTAGCTATAATATATATTAGCAACAATCAATTTTACAAGTAAATACTAGTGCAGAGACATATGTAGAATACTTACAAAAAGAGGATTATGAGGTTGTTAATTGTATGCCCGTTTTAACCCTGGGAACCCTGGTGGCATAGCGGGTTACACATTGGACTGTTAATAACATGGTCAGTGGTTTGAACCCACCAGCTGCTGTGAGGAAATAGGATGAGACTTTCTGCCCATCAAGGTTAACATCCTTGGAAACTCTCAGGACCAGTTTTACTCTTCCCTACAGGGTTGCTGTGAGTCTAGTCACTGGCAGTGGGTTTATCCTTCTCCCAATTCATCCCCATTCCCTCACGAAGGGATCAAGAAATAGTTGATGAAGGGCCCTTCAGATTTTAAACATGCAGAACACTCCTCTGTGTGGTTTTCCAAAATAAAAGCAATAGCAGCAGTTAATGCTTTGCTATTTTAGCTTCATTTTGAGGAAACTGACTAATTAAGCTGTCTTCTCGTAACTGAGTTAATGGTTTTGCCAAGAAGAAAGATGAGAAGCTAATCACAGGCTTAGCTCCTTATTGTTGCTATTTCAGATGAGTCAGGATGCATTCATATTTGGCTAATGACTTTTCAGTGTAGCAAAGAGAAGAAATAAGATTTATGTTTAAATGACTGATTTAATAAGGTATATAGAATAAGTTGACTTTTTGATGTTGTCATATGCTTGATCACCAGCTTCATTCAGCATCACAGACACAAAATAATTAAACAAGGCATAATTGTTGCCCCTTTTTGTTCAAGAAGAGACATTTGCCACACTGCTCTGCTGTCGTTTCCCAAGTTTAGGAAACTTCAAGACAACATCGCTCGCACTCTTTCCCTTTTGCACACAGTACTGGCTGTTCTCTACCACTACTGGATAGGGATCTTCCTACAGATTCAATTGTTGAAGTATTTATTTCCCTAATCTGAAATCCAGTAATTGATAGAATTCCCTTTCACAGCCCTATAGTTGCTACAGTCTTACATGGAAGCTTTCAAATGATTTTGAATTATTAGATTGATTCCCCAAACCCAACCCATGGCCATTAAGTTCATTCATATGAACCTTATAGGACCTAGTAGAACTACTACTTAGGTTTTACTTCTGTAAATGGAAACAGATAGCTTCATCTTTCTCCCATGAAGTAACTCAGGTGTCCAAACCACAATTTTACAGTTAGCAGGCCAATGTCTAGCCCACTGCACCACCGAGAATAGGATTAAAGGAAGCCATTGACCCTCCTGGACTCTGATTTTTCCCCTGACTAGTTCCCCCAAATTTTTGTAAAATTAAAACAGTAAACGACTTGTGTTCTAGTTAGAGAAGATGACTTTGCCTTTTGATAGAAAGTTCCTCCTAGTATATTGAACTTTAATGTACCCCAGGGTGATGGGATACTCTTTGAAAAGACAAGTAGGTTGATTTGTAAATTGTCTGCATATTTATTTGCCTTATTTATTTTAGGTAATTACTGACATTTTCTAGAGACATTATTGACATTTTTAAATGTAATTCTTGGAAACAAATATATGTTGCTGGAAATGTATAGAAAAATAGCTGTTATTTATAGTCAGTTTGGACCGAGCAAGGTCAGAGTTGCTCAAATCCAAATTCAGCAACTTGTGCACGTTGAGATTGCAACTATTATGAAAGAAGTAGAAATAGCATGGTCTGAGTACAGTTGAAAAAGAGATTTGGGGAAGAATTATTTCGGAAAACTGGTAAAGTGCTTTTGAACCAAAAATCAAACAAGTTAATACATTAATGTCTTAGAAATACTTGATTGTTTCAAAAAAAATGTCTTAATCTTCTCAATCTGCAGTTTCCCACAGCATTTGAATTCAACGACTATTTTCTCATCACCATTTTGGACCACCTCTACAGCTGCTTATTTGGAACATTCCTCTGTAACAGTGAACAGCAGAGAGGAAAGGAGGTAAAAGATGAACCATGACACCCCCTCCCCCCACCGCCTCTCCGCTAAATTATTGTGAATCAGGTAATACATATCTGTATACAAATGTTTGTGTGAATGTTTTCAGTTAACACAGGTATGATACCTAGCACTGGACTTGCTGTATCATGATTGTAGTTCTGTGCTTACAGTTTTTGAGAAATAGAAGATTACTTAAAAGCTTCCAATTTTAACTAAAAATTATCACTGGGGGAAGAAGATGCTCAGTATATCTTAAACAGAAAGAATTACAGAACAGATCAAGCATGGAGTTATGATATTGAGAGATTCTATGGACAAAAAATGAATGATGCAGGAAACATCAAAAGAAGA